ACCCCCCCTTCCAAAATGGGGGGGGGAGTGGGTGCGTATACGAGTATTCGTATACTCCCAAATTTTTAGAACTTCCGCCTTGTAATCGAAAAAATTTCGAAACTTTTTTAAAAAAGACAAAGTTAGAAAATATTTCTTATTAGAAAGTCTTCAAATGCACACCACCCAGCGGTAGGGATTCAAAGCCACCAATGGCCAATCCCAGAAAAACAACAACGAAATCATAAAAGCAATAACATCACACATCATCAAGCGCAGACGCCGAACCCTGGCCAATGTTAGCATCAAACCACGTTTGGTCAACTTCGCCGTCCTTATCCGGAATCTCAGGTCCGACTTCGACCGAGTCCAGCGACACTACGATGGGGTTCCACTGATCCCACATGCGCGCCCTAAGATCAAAAAGTTCGGATTGCATGTTTCTCTTCTGATTCAGGTGCCCCCTCTGCGTGGAATATTCTTTGGCATACGAATACCCTTCATTCTGGGTAAGAGACAACCCATGAACAACACCACGACACTCACGATAATCGCCATTCGCCCGTTGAGCAACTTTAGCGTTTGAATAACCAGTTGCAAATCACTCACGACGGGCCTTCATCTCCTCAGCAACCTCTGTTTTACCTGCACGACGAGCACGACGAATTCTTTGGTCAGAAAGCTCCCTGGCACGGCGAGAGCTAACTTCACACTCATCCCTCACGCGAGCTATCTCCCTCTCAACCATTTATTCGGCTTGGTTAGCCTCAACCACTGCCCGAAGGCGAGCAACTTCTTTTTCGTCCATATCTGCTCAAAACTCGGCAAGACGAGCTTCAGCACTACGGCTATCTAGGGCCCGGCTCATGACCAAGAAACCCTGCCAAAAAAAAGAAATAAGCGAAATCGTCCGATGATAAAATCGCGCGAAAAATATAAACACACGAACCTCTTTAGCTTGTTCAGACCCTCTAGAAAACTCCGGAACTTGATCAGGACCAACGCCCGGAAAATTGGAGGTCGACTATCTGCCCGCGTTTGCCCAGACACCTTCCTCCGCTTGGCTGTCAAGGAAGTCCTTGAGAATATAGTTGGGAGAGGCCGTGCGTTCAGATTCGTCATCTTCAACAGCTGAATGTTTATCCCCTCAAGATCTCGACTTACCCCTCCTCGTTGAGGGAACATACGGAATAAATTCTCCTATGAACGGATCGTCTTCATGAATCGGAGAATCCGCGAAAAGTCGAGATCGGAAGAGAGCAACCGCCTGGCGGACACGCGGTGGAGAGAAACTTCCCCAGCCGACTTTACCGCGTTTGAGTGAGGCAGTGATACTCGGGATATCCACCGGATGCGGAGGTAAAGGGTTGGTCTCTACGGAAAACGAAAATGAATAAGTAACAAGGAGGTAATTCGTATGAACTCGAATCACATACCTTTCCAACCCCACACGGTCGTGAAGAACGGGATGCAATCTTCCTCGACTGACGCGCTGTCAATACGAACATAGAAGAAATTTTTCTTCCAAGAAGAAGAGTTCGATGAGCAACCAGTAACGATTTATGCACGAGGGCATAAAGTGATCCTCTGCGTCTTCTCTGTGGGCTTCAGTAAACCTTCGAGATGGTCAACGCTGAGGGTGATTCCCTGCTCGTAGCTCAACGTCAAGAGACCAACGAGTTGTTTTAGGCCTAGGGGAGTCAACTGACTAATGAATAATCCCAGCCTATGAAGATATTGAACAATCATCTCCGGGATCGGAAACCATAAATGGCATTGCTGCAAAAACGCATTGTAGCACGTAAAAAAGCCATCAGGCGCAGCCTTGTGGCTCTCCCCAGCAAGTGGGAGGCGAAACTCGACCTCTTCTGGAACTCGGAAAAATTCCCGCATGAATTCGATACTGTTAGGAGGAGCTGAGCTCAGACGTTCGGAAGCTCGATCAGCATCCGACAGAGCTGGAACCCAAATCCCGGGCGTAGCGGACCCTTACTCATCTCCTAGCGCCCAATTAGCCGCACGGTCAATTGGATCGATCGATGGAAATAAGTACTCCTCTTTCGGAACTGAAACTCGTGGTTGCGAGCTCGTTCCCTCGGAGTTACGAGAATCAGAACTGGTTGAGGAACGAGTTCTTCTTTTTGAAAACATACTTGAAAACTTTGAGAGAATCAAACTTAAAGGAAGTAGAGAAAAACTTTTTCTTGGATAAGTTATGGAGAATGAAGTAAAGAATTCAACAATTTACTCCATATACTTATAGGAAAAAGTTTACTATTCACCTCTGGACTTTTGGCCATTAAAGTTCCGCCTAATTCTACCTAACTCACCAAACAAGTTCAATCCGCTCGCAAGAACTCCACGATTCTTACGAGCTGGGGGGCTAACTGTTGGGGTCAAAATTGGTACGACGGAATCAAAAGCCAAAACTCCCCGCAAAAAGATAAAAGAAATCGTTTTATAAAACTAAAAGAATCGTTTTATAAAACTCGAAGAATCGTTTTATAAAACTCGAAGAATCGTTTTATAAAACTCGAGAAATCGTTTAATAAAACTCAAAGAATCGTTTTATAAAAACTCGAAGAATCGTTTTATAAAAACTCGAAGAATTTTTTTATAAAACTCGAAGAATTGTTTTATAAAACTTGAAAAATCGTTTTATAAAACTAAAAGAGATTTCCGAACAAAGGAAATCCGCGGAAAACTCGGAAGATCGTTATCTCGGAGAAACGAAACAAACGTCGTTTACACGATCGTCCGAGTTAAGCACAAAACCACGAAAAACCCAAACCGCCGTAAAACGTGAGCTAGTCACGTCCCGACTAGTTCGCCCAACGGCGAGATAAAAGCTTCCCGGGAAGTTCGCCAAACGGCGAGCTGAACCGGTCCGGTTAGACTTGCCGTACGTTGAACCGACCGTCCTGAGCCTCGATCTCCCATATCCCCGATTCAAGGCTTACGTCCTTCGGCACAATCGTGTTCCGAACCACGGTCGAAATGTCTCCAGTTCCGTCTCGATCCGTCCTATCATTCGAGTTTTACGATAAAAACCATAAAACTTTGTTTTCTCGAAAAGGACTCGAGGAAATCGTATAAAACGGCAACGATTAAACAAAACACCGAACATTGCCTAAACTATACGATTTATTCGAGATTTTTCGTAAAAATCGTAAAAAACGCGTTTTTAAACAAAAACCGTCGAGTGAATCATAAAGACGGTAACGATTAACCAAGGAACGAACGTAGATAAACTTTACGATTAACCCGGGGAATTTACTAAAAACGGCATCGGATCAGGAAACGATCTCGTATAAAGTCGTAAAATGGATTTATCGCAAAATTGCCCAGAAGGTCCTAAAACGCGATAAAAGCCCATCTCGCGATCTTAACGAAATCTAACCCGAAGATACGATAACGTTTTGACAGTTTACTCGCAGAAGGAAGATAAATATCAAGTTTGAAGATAAATGGCAAGTTTGAAGATAAATAGAAAATTTCCGCGGGAAAAAAGGAAGGATCGAGATAAATGGAAGATTCCCGATAAACTCGAATTCGGGTTAAATGGAAAGAATAAAACCGCCTAGGATGGGAGTATATAAGCAAGAGGCATAGAGCAGAAGCAGGGACACGATTTTCAGAGCTTTCACCACTAAACTTAGGATTTAAATTTTTTGGGTTATTCGTTTGAGTTTGGTTAATAACACTTCAAATTCGAATATGTTTTATACCACCCTAAAAAATCCATTTGAGTATTCTTACCTTTCAAATCGGATATTTTTTGTTTCAAGTCTGGTTAGGATCTTGGATTCTAGATTTTATGTTTAGACTTAAAGCTAAGAATTTTAATCATTACCCACAAGACCAGCCACATATAATTTGTCGCAGATCGAATAATTTGAAGTTTTTTTAATTGTGGGTGCGGGTTAAAATCTATTTTATGCAGGATGAATGCAGGTTAGTCGAAATTGAATAGCAATATTCTCACCTAAAATTATGAAAAAAAAATATTTCAACAAATATTTGTTTTTCTTAAATATGATTTTTCAAAAATAAATAAATATAAATTTTTAATTATAAATATGTAATTTAAGATATTTTATTTTAAAATATATAAAGTATTATTTTATTATTGTTAATATTATCCACGGTTTGTGCGAATCACCCTAGTATTTTTTTTGTCAACACCCGCAACCTTCTAATCAGTTGTATTTCTCTCTTATAATTTAATTGGAAAAAGCATGTAATCTCTTCAGAATCGTAGGATCAATCGAATGATCATAAAAAAGAAAATAAAAAAAATGTGGGAAACACAAGCCTCGTTCTTATATAAACCCAAACCTTCTCTCTCTCTCTCTCTCTCTCTCTCTCTCTCTCTCTCTCTCTCTACATCCATAAATTCCTAACCCAAATATCTCCTCATCCCCGCCTCATAGCTTCTTCAGACAATGGCGGGTAAAGGAGAAGGTCCAGCTATCGAAATCATTCTCGGCACTACCTACTCCTGTGTCGGAATATGGCAACACGACACGTTAAGATCATTTCTAATGATCAAGGTAACAGAACGACGCTTTCTTACGTCGCCTTCACTGGCTCCGAGAGGTTGATTGGTGATTCCACCAAGAATCAGGTCGCCATGAACCCCATTAACACTATCTTTGGTATGTTATCTCATCTTTACTTGAATACCAAAGTTGTGTTCTTAGTTGACTGCTACACCATCTGTTTAGGGTTTTTTGTTGGAATATCTTAGTTTAGTATGAAAGTAGTTTTGATCTTAATGATTTCATGTACTTAAATGTGATTTCGATTTACCTTTGAATAAACTCCTTTTTTTGACTTTGACAGATGCAAAGAGATTGATTGGTCAAAGATTTAGTGATGCATCTGTCCAGAGCAACATGAAGCTATGGCCTTTCAAGATCATCCCTGGTCCTGCTGACAAACCCATGATTGTCGTCTCCTACAAAAGAGAAGAGAAACAGTTCGCTGCCAAGGAGATCTCTTCCATTGTTCTCATCAAGATGCGTGAGTTCGCTGAAGCTTACCTTGGTGTAACTATCAAGAACGCTGTGGTCACTGGTCCAGCTTACTTCAACGACTCTGAGCATCAAGCTACAAAGGATGCTGGTGTGATCGCTGGTTTGAATGTTATGCGTATCATCAGCAAGCCCACTGCTGCAGCCATTGCTTATGGTCTTGATAAGAAAGCTACCAGTGTTGGAGAGAAGAACGTTTTGATCTTTGATCTTGGTGGTGGTACTTTTGATGTTTCTCTTCTTGCTATTGAAGAAGGTATCTTTGAGGTTAAAGCTACTGCTGGTGACACTCATCTTGGTGGTTAAGACTTTGACAACAGAAGGGTCAACCATTTTGTTCAAGAGTTTAAGAAGAAAAGCAAGAAGGACATTAGTGATATATGGTGTTTTTGACATCTTGTATATATGTTTTATTAATTGTTTTCAAGTCTTTATCGAGTCTTTCTAGTAATTTCTGAGTCATTACAGCTCTGGAGTAGGTAAGGAGACCATTGGAGAGACACATGAAGAAAATAATGGAAATTGAAAGTTTTCTGTCGCAGAGCACCCAAACAGAGCAACCCCGGCCTGCTCCCAAAAATTATGGAAACTTCTGATTAATTTTACGATTTTCCCTTGTTTTTCTATCTTCTTCTCCCAGCCGCCTGTGGCATCTATAAAAATATGCTTTTCCTATTCTCTTTATTTTTCTCACGCTATTGTAGAGAGAAAAAACAATTGGAGATTTTATTTTCTTACTTTAAAAACCATTCATTATCTTAGCTTAATGTTGATCCCATAGAAATAAAGTGTAAGATTTGGTCTATGTGGATTTGATTCTCAAGTACTACACCGAACCTTTTATTTGAGAGAGTAGCTTGAAGGTTAATTGGTGCATATCAAATTTGGCGCCGTTGCTGGGCACCCTCTTTTTACCTTTATTTTTTGGTTATTTATTTAGTCTAAGACCTCTAACTTGCTCTTTTATCTTTGTTGCAGGTACACTCAGCAACCAAGAGCTCGCAAGGTTGAAAGAGAGAACAAACAATAGCCAAGGCCAACCAACACCACCATGGGTGATCATGGCGATCAGGATCTCGCTGCAGCAATGCAACTGATGCAACAACAAATGCTCCAGATGCAGTAGACCATCCAACAACTAGCTGCTTTCGCGCAGCAGAAACAGCAGGCGCATGCTGCTCCAATCGGTGAGAGAAACCTCCCGCGTAACATCCCTGCTACACGCTCTGCCATTGTTCTTCCGCCTTGCACTACACAGGACTTCAAGATCAAGCCTGCTTTGATCGCTTTAGTGCAGAGCAAATTGTTCAGTGGTCTCCCAGCAGAAATCCCAATGGAGCATATTGAGAGCTTTGAAAAACTATGCAGTCTCACTCGTGCGAATGGCGTGCCACCTGACTACATCAAGTGCATGTTATTCCCATTCTCTCTTGATGGAAAGGCTGCACGGTGGTTGAACTCTCTCCCTACCGGTTCTCTCACTTCATGGGAGCCGGTTCGATCAGTGTTCCTTGGCCATTTTTACTATAAGGCGAGAACTACAGCATTGAGGAACAAGATCACCTCATTTAGACAGCTCATAGACAAGCCTTTTTGCGAAGCATGGGATCGTTTCAATGACTATCGCAGAGAATGCCCTCACCATGGATTTGATGATGATTACCACTTAGGCATTTTATATGATGGAGTAGACTGGGAATTTCAGTCTGCTCTGAACTCTGTGAGAAGGGTATACTTCATGACACAGACCCCTGATGGTGCGTTCGAGGTAATAGAGAACATGGCTGCTAGTTCTGCAAACAAAAACCCTAAAACAGATCGCTCCAAGAAGGTGAACAGTGTCGACACCCACAAGATAGACGAGTTGACAGCCAAGGTTGATCAGCTGCTGAAGAACAACCAAGGACAAATCTGTTTTATGGAAGAGACAACTCCTGAGCAGTCCACGCAGAATAATTACCAAGAGAGCAACCAGCAGAAACTTCAGAGCAATCAGCAGGCTGCTCCAGCTACTGCCAGTGGTCCACAAGATGAGCGAAAAGGTTTGGCTATGATGATACAACAACTGTTGCGGGGTCAGCAAATTCAGGGGAAGGCATTGAATCAGGTTAACACAAAGATCAACACCAGAATGGACATTATGTTCGCTGAGCTGAATTCAAAATATGATACTGTGAGCAACCACATAATGAGGATTGATGTTCAGCTTGCTCAAACTGCTGAAACTGTTAAGAAGCCGCAAGAAACCCTTCATGGAAAGAGTGTGATGAATCCTATGGTTGAGCAATGTAATTCAACATAGCTGAGATGTGAGAAAGATGAGGGAAGAGCAACGGAGCAACGGTCTGCTCAGACTGCTCCAGGCGCAGAAAAGAGAACAGAGCAACCTACTAGCTCTGCAAAGACGGCTCCCGACGAATCTGCTAAGACTCCACCAGATCGAGTCTATGTTCCTAAGGTTCCCTACCCAATTCCACCTAGACATCTGATGGATCTCGCTAGTGAAGAGCAGCTGGCAGGTTTTAACAAGATGGTGAGAAGGCTTCCTAGAGAACTTGTGTTCAAAGATGCTCTGCAGATTTTCCCACTGCTCAAGTTCTTTAAAAACTGTAGAGAGACTCAAGAGGAGACCAAAGCCATCTATACCAAAGCACTGTCTACACCAGCACTAAAGGTATTGCCTAATGTTGATGATCTTAGAAAGTTTGTTTTGCAATGTTCCATCGCAGGAGCAACCTTCAAGAACGTTCTTTGTGACTCTAGTTCTTGTGTGAATCTCGTCTGAAAGGCTATTGTAGACGATTTGGGTATTGCTGGTATTGAGCGTTCTCAGCTTACCCTAACATTTGCAAACTCTTCCAGAGCAGTCCCATATAGAACCATCCGCAGCCTTCATGTTCAAGTAGGGGAATGTGTTGTTCCTGCTGAGTTTTAAGTTGTTGAGATGATTAAGGATCATGAGATGTCTTTGATATTTGGAAGGACATTCATGGATACTGTTGGAGCAACCATTGATATGCCCAACAAGAGAGTCTGATTCTCCAACAGCAACGAGAAAGTTTTCTACAAGGCTTTACCCACCAGATCTTCCTCATCACACGCCTCTTGCATCTCAGTGTGTGATGTAGAAAAGCTGAAGGTTGTTCCAGAGAAAGAGCATGGTGATAAGGGTGAGAGCAGGGTGTTCTCTGATGAAAATCCTAGCAGTGATCCTACTAAATTTAGAGGGAATACAAGAGTGAAATAGAAAGTCCAGAAGAAAAGGGTCAAGGGAGATCCTACAATGACTTTGATACCTCTCAAGTGTGATGAGAACTCCATTGAGTATGAGGTAAATTGCAAGGGTACCTCCGAACCGTTCTCTAAAGTCAGAGCCATTCCCACACATGAGCTGAAGAAGAAAGGGGAAGCTGCTGTGAAAGGGTTGTTGAGAAAGGTTTTGAAGCTGAACATGTCTGATTGTGGACCTTGTTTTGGAACAGGCCCTCCTGCTCAACCAGACTGATCCACATCACCAAGTCAAGCTAGTGACTTAAACCAAGCGCTTGGTGGGAGGCAACCCACTGGTGAGTGTCATTAACATTAGGATTTTCTTTTTACTTATTTTTGGTTTTAGTTTGTTGAGTCTCAGGTCATAAATAAGAAAATCTGAGATCCTTGACGGGAGGAAGCAGGTGGCTGCTCTCATTTTGAAGCATCCTTTACCAGAGCAACCGCGTCTTGCTCTTTCAGGCTGCTCCGCGCCAGGTAAGTATCTCGGACAAAATAATTTGTATTTTTGTTTAAACCTTCTCTCTTATTTATTTTCACACCAAGATGTTGTGAAGTAAGTCTAGGGGAGGGTCTTTGTCGTTTACTAACGCTTCTATTTCTTTTGGCTTTTATGTTCGAGTCAGTTTTGAGTTAGTTTGAGTCTCTTTGTTGATTCAAAAACTTGGGGGATTAGGACCTTATTTTGACAATCATTAACCACCTCGTGCTTTAGTTATCTTATTCATTGACCTTAGTAGTAACGAAAGACGGCACACTTGGACCTGGAACACCCTGACTTTATCTCACCTTGCTCTCCAGAAGATTTCAGCTTGTAGAGGTTACTCTAGAAAGACTATAACTCCATTTAACTTAGGACCAAATCTTGACTGAAATTCTTCTTGTTATGGGCATTAGATTAGGGAAATTAGATTACACTCAGGACTTCTTAATTCTTTCTGTCCATATAGCTGAACCTGAGTGGCTAGCTCATTCTTAGATAGTTTCCACCATGAACCTTTAGACCATTATTCCGCCCTCATGCATTATGTTCTTAAGTTTCATATGTGCAGATATGTGTAAAAGGGCCAGAGAGGAAAGGATCAACACAGCTCTCAGTCGTTTTGCTCACAGACTACAATCCAGAGCATAGACACACATGATCTGTAAGGAAGAGACCAGGCAGTAAGGTGACCCGAGCAGAGAAAACAAAATGGTGAAAGAAGTGATAAAGTCAGAACCAACAGAGGGACACTATATGTAATTACTTCCTTCTCGTCATCATCATCATCATCTGAACTCATCATTTATTCAGTCAAAAAAAAATCAGTATTATTTAAGTCCCAAGAGTTCTGAAAGATGATGAGAAGGAGAAGAAAGAAAAGGAAAACAGAACCATGGTCAATCGGTGAATAAAAATCTGAAGTAGAAGTGTAACAGTGTGAAGAAAGTGTGGGAACCGAAATCCACCTACTGTCAATAAATCGTAAAAAAGGAAATTTCGGGAAAACCCTAAGTTTCCAGAGGAACCGGCTATCTGCAGAACCGCACAACGAAGATTAAGAAAACGATAAACTTAGAATTTTTAAAAGAATAATCGAAATTGAGAGCAAAGAGGTTCTTATTCTGAATCTGCGTAGAACTGGTACAAAAAGAGTAGCCGAAAAGCTTAAGAACGAAAAACCCTAATTGAGACGCAGCTCGCTAACAAAAAACTGAAATATTCCTAAATGCTAATTTCTGGTGGTGAGAGCTCTGAAAATCGTGTCCTTTGCTTCTGCCCTAGACCTCTTACTTATATACTCCTCGCCTTGGCCATTCGGTCTTTCCATTTCGCCCAGATTTGAGTATATCGGGAATCTTCCATTTTTCTCGATCCTTCCTTTTCTTCCGCGGAAATCTTCTATTTTTCTTCAAACCTGCCTTTTATCTTCAAGCTTGACGTTTATTTTCCTCCTGCGAGCAAACCGTCAAAACGTTATCGTATCTTTTGGTTACCTTCCGGGCCGTTCTGCGATAAATCCGTTTTCTGACTTTGTACAGGATCGTTTCCTGAT